ATACGGTAAAACGAAAGTTTGGATGCATCACTGATTTGAGAAGAAAGTTGGGACGTCGCAATGAGTAATTAAGATTATACCCAAATTTAAAGTTATGAATACGGTGGTTAATATCTGAAGTTAATCTATCAAGTACGTTAAATGGATATATTTTTGTATAAGGTGACTGTCGGTATTTTTGTATAAGGTGCTGTCTGTCGCATTAGTTGTAATCTTGATGATGCTACGGCAAAGGTAGCGAAACGCTTTGACAATAAGTAAAGTATTAGCACCTGCGCTGTTTCGTGCCCTCAACGCTGAATCATCATCTACAATCCGGCAAACCAGAAACAGTGTTTTATTCAGTTCTGATGATGTTGCCGCTTTCAATAAAATATTATCGCAGTTGTTATACATTTACAGCGTATCCAAGAGAATCGCTGGGAACTACAAGAAGAGCCCATTGAAGAGCCTGAGGATAAACCAGTTCTATTCCAGCTATAACCGTCATCTTCCCATCAGAAAGCAGCCAATGACCACTGGTTTCGAAGCGCTTGTTGAGTGTTTGACACTTTTGTCGAACTGACCCAGGGTGCGATGTACTCGCGTTTTTGGATCCATCGTGGAAAGTTATTTTTGCCAATATTCATCCTTCTGAGCCATTTATCACACGTACAGTGCTGAGAAAGAGCTTGTGTGACTTTCTATGACTGAAAAATGATGGGAGCATCAGTACTTACAGCAGCTTGCTTAAATATGACGAACGACAATTCTCCTCAAGGTGACAAATGGCGTTTTTCTAACGGAGAAACATGAACGATAGTCTCCAATCCAGACTTGCTGCAAATATTATTGGAATCGAGCCTAGTTTAGAATCGATATACCCAGTCTCTCAACGATGATTAACATTTTTTCAAAAAGGACGATGTTGGTATGCTAGTACGCAGTTACAATGACTATTCAACCGAATGACCGTAGAATCCGTTGCCTGGTTTCCAGAGTTCTAAGGCAGGACACTATGAACCCTGGCAGAGTAATCGATCTCGCTGTATCAGAGCAATTACTCATTACTAATCAACACCGCCTCGTTGTTACCTGCGGGTTTTTGAACTCTGCGCGATTGCACAATGCCGCAATGCGCATCAAGGCCATGAATGTTGGTTGAGACAAATCATAGGCGGCCTGTTCTTGGTGTTCGGACGTGTCCGCCAACATGATGTTGTTGTCGAACCACGCATGGCTGACCGTCATGCGGTTCTGCGTCAAAGTGCCGGTTTTGTCAGAGCAAATGGTACTCGTCGAACCGAGTGTTTCCACTGCCTCTAAGTGTTTCACTAGACAGTTCTTCTTTGCCATCCGCTTGGCGGTCAAAGTCAAACAAACCTGCCAATTAAAACTTATCAATCAATTAAACTAAACGGGCATATGCTTTACAACTTACCGTAACGGTGGCCAACAACCCCTCAGGAACGTTAGCAACGATGATGCCGATCAGAAACACTACCGCGTCCAACCAATAGTACTCCATGATCAGTGAGATGACGAAAAATGTCACTCCTAGAAATACGGCCACTCCGGTAATGATTCGGATGAAATGCGCCAATTCTTTAGCGATCGGAGTTTCGCCGCTCTGAAGGCCAGAGGCCAAATGTGCAATTCTTCCCATGATTGTCCTATCTCCCGTGTATATGATGACGCCTCGTCCAGTACCTGAAATGATGAAATTGCATATTTCTATTATTCTTATCAACAGAATTTAAACAGCTGGGCAGCCCAGCCTGACAATTAGAAATGTAAAAATATCGATATTAAGCTAATATAGCTGTCCTGTACAAAACATGTGGCAGCAACATAACCAAACAGTTATATCCCCTCTGCACGAGAGCACAATTACCGCTGTATGTCTTTAT